AACTGATATTTTTCCTCTTTATCAAATTTTCAAACTGGTTATACGTATATAGGATTAACGTATAAATTTTAAATATAACAATTATAAACACATTAAAATGATAGCTCTAAGAACAAACGATCAAGATTTGTAGTTATTGTCTCATTCCCAAACTTATGAAAACTTGTGAGCGTTTAATAAACAATTAGATCGTTTAAGGTTTTGGATGATGCACGTCTATACATTAATTCTCGTTTCGTTTCTCTCGAGTCGCGACACATTTAATATTATCAGTACTTTTGTCACGTCCATCACTCAAAATTACGTTTTGAAGTTAATAAAATTTGGAAGTATCCAAACTTACATTTAATATTATACATTGTGGACGTACAAAAAGTTGTAGCACTGCTTTATATACTACATTTGTACACAATACAAACGTTCACAATAACATTAATGAGTTTAAAAGTTTAATTGTACCATTTTCATTATAAAAAAAACTTGTGTTTGTTATCCCCTCAGCAATAACTATAAACAGGGGCGGAGGGAGAGAAGATTCATAGGGGTCAATTGACCCCGGTGAAATTTTAAAAAATAGTTGAAATTTTATATTAAAAAAATTATTGACCCCAATCCAATAAAAATATTGACCCCTATAAAAAAAATTTATGTTACAAACCCAATAATTACACTGCACTTATAGATAATATTAGCCTAATAAAATTTATTTTAAATAAATCTACTACAATTCTATTAATATAAACTAATATAATATTTTAACATTTATTTTGAGCTGATCTTAAAACGTTTTACCTTCTTCTTCTTTCTTCTTTGTGTTTTTAATCAATCTTTGATCGTGTGATGGTGGAAACAAAAAAACATCTTTCACATCTTTTAGTATATCGACTTATGAAGCTACCTTTTATGCATCTGTTAGAAAAAAAAAATTTTTTGACCCCGATGAATAGATTTTCTGGCTCCGCCACTGACTATAAACGACAACTCTTCTCTCACTCGGTTCCGGTAAGTTCAGCAAGTTTTGACACCAAAATTATCAAGAACTACCACTGCGCTCATTAAGCGAAAAATATAAAACTGAATAAAAGGCACCAGAATATATGACGTTAACAAATTTAAAATATCATTTTGGATAACCTATATAAACACAAGTGTATCGTAATATAATGTTGGAATTTAAAGATTTTGATGGTAGTTTTAAAGCATAATTATGAAAATGGTAGTTTAGGAATTTGTATTTGTGAATTTTACACATTTATTATGAAATTTAAATATTTTCCTATTTATATAAATGGAATATGATCTAACTATGGAGTGAAAAGATGTCTAAAAAGGAACATAAAAATAAAATAAAAGCCCTAAAGCTGAAGAACATGTTTGTAATTTTTATTAGCAAAAAAGAGTAAAACAAATCCAAAAGACAAAGTATAATGTAAGACAAGATGGGAAGCGTTTTGGAGACATTGACTATACTTTTCTTGCACATTAATTAAATCTCAACTATAATAAAACTCATGTTACAAAAAAAAACTATAATAAAATTAAGTTAACATTTATTCATTTGTATGCCACCGTAAAATATATTATTTTTCAAAATATTTGTTTATATCTCTCATACATCTCTTCATATAAAATATTTTATTTAGAACATTTTCAAAATACTATAAATTTAGGTTTTTGGAAGAATTTCTAAAAATTATCACGATTTTTTCTTAATAATTAGTTGTATCTAGTGGTGCGTTGTGATGAACACTTCTACAATAACTGCTTTTCATTTTGTTTTTGTTTTTTTTTTAATATGAAATTGATATTTTTATCACCTATTTTTGTTCTTCACTTATTTTCAATTTTTCATAGGGAAAAATGTCATTAAAATCCCCAACTTATTCAAAACGTTGATTTAAATCCTCAACTCACGACGAAACGAAATAAATATCAAACTTATGTTGACTTTCCAAATAAATATTAAACTTATGTCGACTTTCCAAATAAACACCAAACTTTCATTGACTTGGCCATATTAGGCATGACGTTAAGTGAGTTAACAGACAATGTTGAACTAAAAATGACAGTATTGTTGAACTATAATCAAATCTCATCTATGATCGACCCCGTATATACTACCTTGCGGTTAAGTGTATCGGGTAATTACTCGAGCAATCAGAGATCTATTAACTCACTTAACGTCGTACCTAATATGGCCAGGTCAACGGAAGTTTGATATTTATTTGGAAAGTCAACATAAGTTTGATATTTATTTGGAAAGTCAACATAAGTTTGATATTTATTTCGTTTTGTCATGAGTTGAGGATTTAGTAACCCACTTAACGTCGTACCTAATATGGCCAGGTCAACGGAAGTTTGATATTTATTTGGAAAGTCAATGAAAGTTTGGTGTTTATTTGGAAAGTCAACATAAGTTTAATATTTATTTGGAAAGCCAACATAAGTTTGATATTTATTTCGTTTCGTCATGAGTTGAGGATTTAAATCAACGTTTTGAATAAGTTGAGGATTTTAACGACATTTTTCCCATTTTTCATATATGTCTTGGATCTTTATTTGGAGTTTTGCTGTCCCTCTGTTCGAAGCATTCTTTGCTTAAAGACAGGTTAGCCCCAGGAATAAAGCTAAGTTCCCACCCCCAACGTTTTGGGTTAAAGACACATTTTATATTTTATATTTATGTGTCTGATTTTATTTCTTTTTAAGAAAGTTTAGCATCGTCCAACATGTTGCACATATGCTAAATGCTTTTATACACTGCACCTTAGAATTTTCAATGTTTTCAGATCGAACTACAGTTGGAGCGATAAAAAAAATTCGATGCTTTTTGTATATATATAGTACTACTACGGGATGTTTAAACAGAAAAAAATTTCAATAAAAATAAAAACTAATGTTTATTGCATTTTGTCATTTAGTACATTATTCATTATACTATACTATATATATATACTATATGAAATGTTTTGTGTAATTTTGTTTTGTTTTACAAACCGAAATGAACTGTTTAGGACAAAATAAATTAAATACCCGACCACTGGGAAAACCAATTCATAAATGAACTATGAATCTATGATCACTCTTTAAATTCGAACATGAATTAAATGACATGTGAAAACTCATATATTAACCATGTAAATTTAGTGAAGTTCCTATACAAACTAACAAAGGTTGGTTTACATTGATCCTAGAGCCCTTAGTCTACCGTTTAAATTTGCTAAATCATAGTATGATCCAAAAAACTAACGTAATTTTGATTAAATTACTCTTCACAAAACCTATATAAACTAATATTAATGTTATTATAAAGCTTCTTTTGTAGTATTAGTTTATGAAGTTTTTTTTTGACAAATTTACTTCAGTTTATGTACATAAATTTTTACCGTCTATTTGTAAATCTAAAATGATATCGTTTCGATTTCTATAACATGTCATATGACTCAACAAATTTAGAAGGGTAGACTAACAATGTTAGGATCAAAGTTGACTCAAGCCAAAATTATTAGTTTAAAGAGGGATTAACTAGATTAACCTAGTTCATGTATGTAATTTAATTGGTGGCCATAATTCATATATTATTACAGAGAAGTGTAATGCCTATTACTTAACCGCGAATTAACATTACGATATTATCAGCCTATGCAACTTTGGAGAAGGATCTCCTTATGCCTACCATTATTTAGTAATTTTATAATTAAAAGCTTGTGTTTTAGTTTACCATCTTTATCGGAATCAAGTGAGGTTTATCTACATTTTTTAATCTTAAAAGTACAAAAAAATAGATGAACAACACGACTAAGTAAAGTCAAGCTCGTTCATCACATTTTCTTATAATTTTAAATTATTCGAACTATACATACTTTCACGCGACATGTAAAAGCTTCATGGTGATTAATATCAACCACTTTTTGTCTGAGTTTAACATTTTATGTTACTAATATGCTCTTATATCTTAGAGGTTCAGCTCAATTGTACTTCCTTTGAATTTGTAATTTACTATATATGTTAACTGTAACATTCAGTGAAATATTGAACTCATATCTTATTAATAGTTTGCATCATCATCAAACGGACATGGCCAAATAACTTACATATATATGCAACTGAAAAACAAAATACACAAAAAAACATTAGTTTATTCCAAAAATACATAACCAATCTCCAATTCTGCAAGCTCTTCTATAGCAATCTAACCCTAGAATAATCTGGTTTAACGAGTCAAGAAAAGACAATTTTTTTTAAAAAAATGGTGGGAGCATTATAATATAAAAGAAATGAACATGACAAACAAACACATCACATGTGTAAAATAAATAGAAATAGTTGTATCTATCCCATACTTCAATACTCCATCCACCATGCCAACATTAATCCATGATTGGGACACTATCTAAGCAAACACTTCCAACTTACACTTTCACACTATATTCTAACTCCATTTATATAAATACGTTATATCAACTTTTTTTTGTTGGTATCAATGTTAAGTACATTTTATCAAGTTATCAATTCTATTCACAATCGATGCTTCTTTACTCATTTAGTAGAAACATAAAAAAACAAAATGTCACACATGATCATAACCAAAACAAGACAAAACGATGAAACACATATATATTTTCAATAAATAAAAACTATATATTAAAATAAAATAAAAAAAGAGTTGATGAAATGAACCCACACAAAGCGAATCGTGATGCGACGGTTCCCTTGGCCTGTCAAATGTATCGTGACCAAAACCCGACCCGGTTTCAGCTGTCTTAAACCAATCCCAAACTGCCACGTACTCTACTTCCAGCACACGTAAGCCATCTCCGTCACCGGTAGACAACATGGGCCCTCTTTGCCGTCTCTTCTCTAGACCAAATTTTCATCGCCACACCAAAATAAAAAAAACCTCCGTTAAAACTCACGGTCATTTTTTTTTTAACTTTACACGCCGTTAAAAATTCTCTTTCCTCCACGTATATATATATATCGAACGAACCTCTTGTCTCTTCTCTTTCTCTTCGTCTACTTAGATAACAAAAAACCTCGGAGCTCCTTTTCAGTTCTCGGGTCACCCGATAACCCGAATTCTCGACCCGGTTTCGTCTCTGTTCTCATTTTTTCAAATTTCAGAGGGTTTTTGATTTTGGAGATTTTCTCAGTGAAGTTTATTACAGAACCAGATTCGAAGAAGAAGACATTTCAGGTCAGTACACGAGTTTATGAAAAAAATCTCTCTTTTAAAGATTTTTCTCGGGAAAATAATAAAACAGAGAGATTCGTTGCTTTGTTTCTTGCTCTGTAGAAACGATTAGTCACTGGTTTTTTTTTTCCGATCAATCTTTTCAAAACTATTTTTTCCCGGAAAAAAAAGTTACGAGAGTTTTTTTTTTTTTTTTCGATTACCTTTTTCTGCAAACATTTTCCTCCACTGTCACTTGATTGATTTGATTTAGACAGATTCGATTCGTCATTTTTCTGATTTAAACCAAATAAGTTTCCAAAATTTTCTCACTAAACACTTTCCAGGAAAATGTTTTACATTCATCAATATTAAAAATTTTCATTTTCATTCAAAAGTTTCCCGGTATTTATTGTTCGTTCATTACTTTACTTTTTTGAGAAAACGCCGAATTTTTCTCAAAAACATTAAAAGCAAAATTCATCATAAATTGTTTTCGTCCTTTTGTAACACATTTATTACAATTACTGTCTGTAACACTACACTAATCTCTCTGCAGCCATTGATGGTCTATATATAGACTTAGACTCAGAACTAACCCCACTCGTGCCGGCTTCCTAAATAGACCAAAACCCTCAAGAGGAAATAAAGCAGAAGCTACTATCTTTAAAATCTCAAAAATCTCAAATCAAGTCGCTTCATTTCTCAGATATCGAAACACAAAAGGTGAGTAAAAACGAAAACCCATTAATCAAAATTTTATTTTTGGATTGAAATGATTAAGAAAAATAATAATCAAAGAAGTCGTTTTCTGAGATGAGAATAATTATGGGTTTTGTATCAGTTTTTGCCTTTGCTTTTGATATCAAAACAGAGTTTTTTTCGTGATTCGTGATTGTTTTTTGCAATTTTATCTTTTACTTTCGATATAGTTTAGTTTTCATGTCGCGACACGCTTTAGATTGGTCCATCATCACTCAAAACCCTAAAAATAGAAACCAAACTCTTTTTCTTTTTCTTAACACGTGACTGTCAAGATTCCATTTTCTTGTTAAATAGTATTCGATTTTTTTTTCTTTTCCAGTGATTCGAATTGTTTTCTTGGTTTTATATATTTTCGGTTCTAAATGGTGTTAAACACGAGGAATCAGAACATATTATTTGATTCTTTTTAGTCTCAAAAAAATCTGAGTTTCAAAAATGTCATAAATTTCGGCTACTGCAAAAAATGTAATTATTCTTTGAACTTTTGTTAGTTGAGGGATGGGTTTAGGATCTTTTGCTGCACACAAAAGTATTAAGTTATTATTCTTTAACAAAAAAAAAAAACTATTCAAAGTAGAATAAAGAAAAATTTGTCTCTATTATGATCGTCTTTAGAATATATTATTACTTGTAAAAAATGTGTTTATACAATTTTCAGGTGTTTAGATTTGCACAATTAATTTTTGACTGGGGTCCTATATATCCTCTGATCCCCAAGCTCTTTCTTTTCTAATTATAACATCTTTTTTTAATAAAGAAAAGTGTAACATGTAGTTTTAATATCTCTTTCAACACTTTTGTCTTTATCAAGATCACTCCACTAATCCTAAACCTCCCCAGCTTATATTTTTATTCGCTCTACGAATAGGTGACACTAATATCCGACCATTGTGTAATGTTTTTTTTTGTTTAGAATTATGTTAGCTGTTTTTTTTTTTTTATTGGGTTTAGTTCTTGAAATATTTAGCATTGGTTTCTTTATGAGTTAAACTACCAACCAATCCAACTTTATCAATCAAGTTACATTTTCTTTTTATATATAACATGAGTAGTTGTTTCCTGACTAGAGATATGTCAACAACTTTGTCCTTTTGTGTTTGTGTTTTGCGTTATAAGAAAACGACAATTGAAATCCAAATACCCTTTTCTATGTTTCTTCTAACTTCTAACTAATGTTTACATGTGTACTATGATTACATAAGCTTTATGTCGGATTGTGAGACTTAGCTCTACTTTAAAGTTCTTAATTACTTTTTGTTTTGTTTTGTAGAGTATTATTATTCATTTGAATAGAGTAGTAGTGTGAGGTTTGGTTTGTGATGATGTTTAATAGAGTACTCTCTGGTTTTATAGGTCTGAAAAGGCAGAGAACAACAACACAAAAAAAGAGACCAAAGATGTTTTCTTGCATAGCTTGTACCAAAGCAGACGGAGGTGAAGAAGTCGAAAATGGAGCGCGTGGAGGCACCACTCCCAATACTAAAGAAGCCGTCAAAAGCCTAACCATTCAGGTCTCTCTCTTCTTTCTTTGTTGATCCTTCTCTGCTTTTATATTCTTTCACTTTATTTTATTGCTTTTCTCTAATTGCCTTGTTCGTGAAACAAACAAAGACACAAACCCCAATTAACGTATCTTAGAGGATAACAAAAAAAAAAGCAATCGAGATTCCAAAGGATAGAGTTTGAATTCATTAGTATATAGAGGTTACTGTTGTTTAGGACAGAGATCTTACAATGAGGTAACTTCACTTCAATTTTTGGAATCTTTCACCAATCTCTCTTTAGTAGTTTTCATGTCAGTGTTTGTTTCCTCTCTATATGACTAGACATATGAAAGTCAAAACAATTTAAACCCTTTCTTTGAGTTATGTAGCAAGTTGAGTTTTTAGGACTACAGTGGCTGCTGATTAAAGCTTATATTGGGGTCATGCTTTGATGAATATTGCTAATGAAGATTGATCTAAATACTTTTTTTTTTTTTTTAATCAAATAAGCTTTAGTGGATTCTTACCTCGACAGGAAATAAAAAGAACAAAACCAAAAGATAGAGTGGGCCGTTATGATTGTGTTCTGCAGACTGAGAAGACAAGATTAAATTATTTATACATATGTTTAATTATGTTAGATCTCATAGCTTTATTGATGTTCTTTTATCAATAATCATCATCGTAGACCTCCTTTTTACTTCGTTAGACTTAAAAAATATACTTGGTCAAGGTTAAAGTCCTGAAAAGTTGTATTCAACATTCTTGTGTTTTATAAGTGTTACTTTGATCTAATTGGTGTTTTGTGGTGTCTATGTTATATGCAGATTAAAGATATGGCTTTGAAATTCTCTGGTGCTTATAAACAATGCAAGCCATGTACTGGTTCCTCTAGTAGTCCTATGAAGAAAGGACATCATAGATCGTTTCCGGATTATGACAATGCTTCTGAAGGTGTTCCATACCCTTACATGGGTGGAAGTGCGGGTTCAACTCCTGCTTGGGACTTCACAAACTCCTCTCACCATCCAGCTGGACGGTTAGAATCAAAGTTCACCTCAATATATGGAAATGATCGAGAATCTATCTCTGCACAGTCTTGTGATGTGGTACTGGATGATGAAGTGCCAAAAGAGTGGATGGCTCAAGTAGAACCCGGTGTTCATATCACATTCGCTTCGCTTCCCACTGGAGGAAATGATCTCAAACGGATCCGTTTCAGGTATTTGAACTACTCAAAACAACCAAGTGCATGCTTAGGATATTTTACTTTAGAACGTTCAAAGCTGAAACATGAGATAAAAACTAACCATTACTTGTGTCTCTTGTTATGAAAGCCGGGAGATGTTTGATAAATGGCAAGCTCAACGATGGTGGGGTGAGAACTATGACAAGATCGTTGAGCTTTACAATGTACAGAGATTTAACCGCCAAGCCCTTCAAACACCTGCACGATCCGAAGATCAGGTACCACTTTAACATTCCCTTACCTTTGTGAATCTTGTCCTTTGATCCAAAGAAGGTAACACAAGTTTATTTTTCAGTCACAGAGAGATTCAACGTACTCAAAGATGGATTCAGCGAGAGAAAGCAAAGACTGGACTCCAAGACACAACAACTTCAGAACTCCAGGAAGTGTCCCGCATCACTTTTATGGCGGCTCTAGCAACTATGGACCAGGAAGTTATCATGGAGGACCACCAATGGATGCGGCAAGAACCACCACTTCTTCCAGAGATGATCCACCCTCCATGAGCAATGCTAGTGAAATGCAAGCTGAGTGGATCGAAGAGGACGAGCCCGGGGTTTACATTACCATCAGACAATTAGCTGATGGGACTAGAGAGCTACGGCGAGTCAGATTCAGGTATAACAAAACATCTAAAACTAAGCATTGGCAAGATGCTAGACATTTTCGAAACTCGATAATCGTACCGTGACTAACACGGAATCTATGCTTTTGTGGTTTAATCAACAGCCGGGAAAGATTTGGGGAAGTGCATGCAAAGACATGGTGGGAGCAGAACAGAGAGAGAATACAAACACAGTACCTCTAAAAGAAAATGAAACATTATGAGTTTGATCTCTACCAAATCTTTAATTAATTAATTAATTAATTAATCTCATTCACATAACAACACAACTATACACACTTTGCTTATGTTTTGTTCATCTTAGCTTAACATCTATACATAAATCAAGTGTTTTGAAATATCATCTCTAATTCAAGCTGATTACATATAAGTATAACTATCGTGTAAACCATGTCGTGTTTTTTGTGACAAAGATAAAGAATTGATCAAGATGTGGTATAGACTATAGAATAAAAAAAAAGTCAACTTTATTATTTGCTTATAAGTTATAACGAATACAAAGTAGAGTTGACCATTTGAGTTTTTTGGATGAGCAAACCATAAACTTGGAGAAAGGTCACCATAGTTCCATCAATGGCTGAGATTTCTGATATTACTACTCAGGCTCAAACCGTTGTCTTGAACATCGATCGATCAATTGATGATTCCCGGTCGTCGGATTTATCCGGTCCTCTTGTGTCCGTATCGTTTGTTCAAAAGGTGAGACACATCTTTTATGTTGCGACATGGTTTCTTAATTTTATCGTGAAATATTTGTTAGTCGAATCAAGGTTTTATATTTCGTGTGATGTTGTTATATGCGATTGCGAGCTCAATCTTGACTTTGGTTCTAATTATTGGTGATTGATTTTCCAATTTATGAAGTATAATAATCAAACCAAACAAACATCTATTTCCATTATTGTTCTCTCTATAGTTGATTTTTTGTTGAAAACTTGAAACTCTATAGTTGATTGGAGAGTTCGTGGGAACATTCTCTATGATATTTGCCGGTTGTTCGGCCATCGTGGTAAATGAGACGTACGGAAAACCGGTGACACTTCCCGGTATAGCTTTGGTATGGGGACTAACCGTAACGGTTATGATCTACTCAATTGGTCATGTCTCCGGTGCACATTTCAACCCTGCTGTTTCCATTGCTTTTGCCTCTTCTAAAAAGTTCCCTTTTAATCAGGTGATCCAAAGATATCTACAATTATAAAAAAATACATCATACTATTAAATTCATTTTTATTCTTTGTAATGCTATTTAATGATTACTGCAATATTATGAATTAGAAGCAGGAAAAAAACATGTATTACCAACCAGAGTCATGAATTGTATATGAAATGTGGTGGTTGTTATTGATCTTTTTACAGGTTCCAGGGTATATAGCCGCTCAAGTTCTCGGATCGACCTTAGCTGCTGCAGCTTTACGGCTTGTGTTCCATCTGAATGATGATGTTTGTAGCCTCAAAGGCGATGTTTACGTTGGAACATATCCATCAAACTCAACCACAACGTCGTTTGTAATGGAGTTCATTGCTACTTTCAATCTAATGTTTGTTATATCTGCTGTCGCTACCGATAAACGAGCCACGGGGTCACTCGCTGGAATCGCTATTGGTGCAACCGTAGTACTCGACATCCTTTTCTCCGGGTAACTAATTATTCTTATAAGTCTCTTTTAAAAATATTTCATGGTTAGTTTGTTTACACGTATGATAAAAAATGTTCTATTTTCCATAAATTTGGTTAGGCCAATATCAGGAGCATCGATGAATCCAGCAAGAAACTTAGGACCTGCACTTATATGGGGATGTTATAAGGACTTATGGTTATACATAATTTCACCGGTGCTCGGAGCATTATCAGGGGCATGGACTTATGATTTGTTACGATCCACAAAGAAATCATATAGTGAGATTATTCGTCCAAATTGCAATAAAGTTTCTTCGAGAGATCACCAAGAAGCTTCTCAAGATGAGATTTGTGTTTTACGAGTGGTTGATCCAGCTAATCAAAACTATTTCATATGTTCATCACCTAATGATATCAATGGTAAATGTAATGTTACATGTAAGTTGGCGTGAATTAAATCGATGTATTGGCCAGTACTAGTTCAATACCCATGTATTTGTTTTCTGGTTTCATATTATTGTGTATATTTTTATTTTTTATGCGCGCGATAAGTGATAAAAGCTTATTAACACATAAATGTTTTCTCATGCTCAACTTTATATAGTAACAAGAATATATTCACTAGAGTTTGAAAGCGCCAAGTGAAGAGACATATATATCAATCTAAGTTTCAAATTTTCGTTTCACATTTAAATGCATTTTCGTTTTAATTTAGCGGTATAATCATATAAACAAAGAATCTAGGTGTTCATTTACTCATTGTGAAGACAAAGAATAATAGAGTACACAGAGAAGTTAATGAGACAGAGACACAAAAATGATAGAGAGCTGTTCCTTATAGCATGTGGTGAAAGACAGAACACAAAGCCAGGTAATTGGTGAAGTAAAACACAGAGCTGCTTGTAAGCCCTTCTCTGGTCAGCGAACCATGGAGTCTGAAGGTGAGGGATCAGGCTGGACGACTTACAATGGAGATGATGATGGCTACTCCAGTGACGATTCCATGGCGTCGACTGCTACATCTTTGCCTCCTCAAACAACGTCAAATTTTCAAATGTTGCTTCAAACCTTGGTGTATTTTTTGTTTCAGTGTATTTTTCTAGTTTCTATATACATAAATTTAAATTATGCTAAATTTTCTAGTTTATATCATATATTTTCAAAAAATCAAAACCAATTAAAAAGATTGCTAAATTATTTTTGACTACACCTATTATAATTATTAGAAAATTAAACAAAAACAAAGAAACTATATTGACAAACAAAATCAAGTAAAAATAAGCAAAAACGTAATTTTTTAAATATTATTAGATCAGAATTACATATTAAATCTATATATTTATACAATTAATTTGATGCTCATAAATTAATTGACATGTAATTTTTTTTGTTTATATAACTTTCAGTTTTTATATCAAACACTTTGGTAAATGGAACATTCTTTAAATTAATTTATTTTTTGGTTTTGGAATTACTAATTTGAATAATTTGTTTACAATAATATTTTTACAATATTAGTTATCAATTATCTTATTGGGAGATTTTGAAAACTACCATATTTATAATTTTTTGTTTGAAAAATACATTTTTCTCTATTTTTAATTTAAACCACAATTTTTAATATGTAAAATGACAATTTTGTCTTGATTTAAAATAATAGATGTATTTTTAATAAATTAAAACTGGAATATAAAATTTTGAAGAAAAAAGAATAAACTAAATTCAAAATTTTAATTAATTTTTAAAATATTTATATATATATATTTATTTTGAACGTGATACCAGCCAAAGAGAACAAACGTTAACATACCCAGAGAAAGAAAGATACTATTGATATGCAAATCTAAAATTATGGTTTGTTATTGGATACTGGTGAAGAGATGGGAAAAACCAAAAATGTTGTGAAGTCGAGTCAATATGATCTGTTTGCTTTAGCAGATCAAAGCATTGCTAATTGACTGGATTCATGGTTAAAGATAGAAAAGTATATATAGTTTCGGAAAAAAAAAATATTTTTCTTTTGTATCAATAGTTTTTTAAACACATGTACTGATTGATTGCAGGAATATAACTATCAATTTGGACACTATAAAAACAGACAAGCAATTTTTCTTAGAACTCATTGACCCACAAACTTGGTTAAGTGAAGATGTAAGTAAATTGTAATTATTATTATTACTGAAAAATATTTTCTTTTATGTAAACTAACTTATATATTTTTCGGTGGCAGCATATTGATGTTGGCATGTCATTGTTAAGAAAGCAATTAGGATAAGTCTCATATCCATTTCTGAGTAAAACGATTGGCGTTTCTTGATGTTCCATTCACTGTGCTGATATCTAGGAGCTAAGCAAGTTTTTGGAAAATACTAAAAACTTTGATTGGAGCTCTGGAGTCATCGACTTTAAAATTGTTAATTACATCAAATATTAATTTAATTTAAAATAATAGATTTTTCAGTTTTAACTATAATTTTTTAAAATTATTACTGAATTTTAGTGAAGCTATTTTAGTAATTATATATATTGAAAATATTATTTAAAGAGAAAAAAGTATAGGGCATTTTTCAAACAAAAACTCATAAATAGCGCAATTTTTCAAATTTTCTCTTATATAATTTCCTTAATTATAGAAGTATATCTTTTTTTTAAAATAATTCTTTTTCTTACACGTTATAATATTACTTTTAAAAAATTAGTAATTAATTGAATAATTTCTTAGTTATAGAAATTTCTATTTCTTTTTCTAAAGTATTTTTTTTTAGAATTAGTAATCTATTGAATGATTTTCTTATAATATGTTTACATATGACAAAATCTCTAATCAATAAGGTATAATTTTGGGAAATTGCATGATCTATACTCAGAAGAATGCAAAATTAACTGACATAAAAAGCTATTGTTGGGCCCACTCTGTTCACGTGGATTAGTCTCCTTTACCCCTATAGCTGTTTTTGGACATTCGTAGGGTAATAGTGAGATCTTAGGAGCAGTGAGATCTTTAATTGGTGTGATATTTATTTGGGAAAACACGTCAAAATTATTTTTATTTTTCACGAAGCCATCGTTGCTCCTCGCGAATCCATCTCTGCTCTTCCCGGAGCCACCGAACTTCTTCGCGGTCGTAACCGGAGGACGGATTTTGAGTGGAGAAGCAAACGATTGAAGAAGGAAGAGAGAGAAAGAGAGGAGAGCATCGAAAAGGTAGAGATCGAGTGGAACTAATACGAGATCGGAGTGGAAACGGAAGAGAAAGAGGTAGAGAGAGAGAGAGAGAGAGAGAGAGAGAGAGAGAGTAACAAAAGCTTTATTCCGTTCTTTGGTCTTGAAGACGATGTTACAGTTGAACGGATATTGTTAAGTGTATTGTTAGCATGTTAAGTAGGTGGTTATCTAAGTCTTTTCATCCATCCATCAAACCACTAGCAATGTTTCGCTAACGATATTACCCCGATAACACGTTAGTTGCTAACTCTCCCAATGCATGTATTATTTTCTATATGATTTCCCAGCTGCAAGTCAACATTTTTGTTCATCACGGTAAATATTTTGTTATCTTATTAATGATAATGTTACTGTCTTCGCATATATAATCCAAGCTTTGAAATTTAATCGTTGGTTCGATAACTGAAAATCTATTTATCTCGTTAAGTATATTATTAACATGTTAAGTAGGTTTTTACCTAAGTCTTTTCATCCATCCATCAAACCCTATCCATGTTTTGCTAACGATATTACTCCGATAATACGTTATCTGCTAACTAATTTCTCCAACATCCATGTTGCGTCTCAAAACATATCCTTTGTATATAATGATTTATTTTTTTGTCGTATCTTTGTGTAGGGGTAGTTTTGTCATATTTAATTTGCATGGAAAAAGAGAACTAAATATCTTATTTGTATGTATAGATTCTTAATTTCTTCTTCTTCCATGTATATATTTTTAATTCACCCTATAATTTTCTTGTAATGTTTTTGCACATGTCAAAATCTCTAATATAATAATAGATATGATACTGCTGATGTTAATTAGCAACTTTAAAACCTAAATTTTATATAATAAAATAAAATAATAACGAAAATCTATCAGATAAACACTATTATGTGTCAAGATAAAATAAGATAAGATAAATAACATAACAATAAAGATATCAACGAAAACTAAAAAATGTTAATAATAACCATATTATAAAAACGCAAGAAAAATAAATAAACTAACAATAAAATTTGCTTTATCCAATTATCCAAAATAACTAATGAGTCAAAACTTATTTGACTAAAACTATCTGTTATTAATTTTTGTTGTTGTAAGTTTCCTATTTTACCCTCACTGATACATTGCTAAACCCATAAATATCCCTAACAACCTTCACTTTTTTTTTGGTCTCTTTCTTTCTTCTTCCCTGCGCCAGAGTCCAAATCCGATCTACCACAGCTCCTCCCGCCGGTCATTCACTGCCGCCGATTTCAAACTTCCCGATCATTTCCGGCGATATCCAATCGCAGACAGTGGTTGTTAGTAAGTTTTCTTTCGTTTACTTACACTCCGCCGATAAATTGTTTATATATACGAAAGCAATCTAGCGAATTTTCAAGGTTGCTCGACTTCTAGGTGTTCTTAATCGATACGATATAGATAAGTTCGATAGTTCTTCTCTGTGTATGGCTGTGAGGGAAAAAAAGGGGTAGAAAAACCCGGACCCCCTAAAAACACGAAAAAATCCTCAACTTTTTTGGGGTTTTGAAACCTCCACCATAAGGTAAAAAAACCCCCTTATGAATAAACTCAACTTAATTTTTTTTAAAATCGTTATGTTGAAACACAGTAAGAAACAAAAAAAAAATTTAATATATGATTTTTTTTTTCCAAATTCGTTTGCAATTTTTTTTCTAGATTTAGGCTTTTGCGCTATAAAAATTCATTCACAATTTAGTTGAGATTAGGCAAATAACTTTTGTTAAGTTATATAAACTACAAAAATTTATAGGATAGCACATTTTATTTTTTTTTGTTCTAGTTTTCAGTTTTTAAATTAAATATAGTTAAATAATGATTAACTAAATCTAATTTATATTATAGTTTTAATATATCGAGATATATTTAGAAATATTAACTTTAGTAAATCTTATTTAGTTTTTTTTTTTTTTTTTTTTTGTCATCCGAAATTAACTAGAGCTCAAAAGAGTCATTCCTGAGGAATGTTGTTTACATGGTTGATATGAAGCGGTTCTGTACGAATTTTTCGTGCCAGATTATCCGCTTTAACATTAGCCCTACGAGAAATTAAAGATAAAGAAAAAGATGAAAACTCCTCCTTGTCGCTCTGAAATTCCTCCAAGTACACTGAAAATGCCGGCCATTCGGTTGGAGAAGACACCATCTTCACCAGGTCTGAACAGTCTGTAAAGAACGCTACCTCTTGATTATCTGCACAAATCTTAGTTTGTCCAACGAAAATATTTGATGTGTAAATGCATGTACTTTCATAGTATTAATTGTGGTGATCGAGCCGAATAAACCATTATTAACAAACTCATATTTTGTTCGGTATAAAAATTTATATATCATTCGTAACAAAATCTGTTTGGTTTCACGTTGATGGATTTTCGTAACACAACTAAATACAACTTCATTAATTAATTTTTTACATCATACTTAAAAGTGCATGTGCTTTGATTTTATCTGGCTTTCTCTTCAAGAAAATTGCAATTTGTTTGATCGTAGGCAATGCCGGCTCAGATATAGGGGCGGGCGGTGCGACGGCCAGGGGCCCAATCCCGTGTTCCAATAATTAAGGGGCCCATTTTTAAAATATTTTTATAAAAGTATTAAAAAATTAAATTACAACATAAAAATAAAATTTATAAGGGCCCATAAATTTTTTTATTTACTGTTTTTAGTTTTAGTAATTAAATTTTTATTAAAAAAATTATACAAAAAATTTTTATAACACAAAAACACTAAAAAAAAAAATTCTAAGGGTTCAAAATATTTTTTGCCCTAGGGTCCGTCAAAGTATTAAGCCGGCGCTGGTGAATCTGGGCTTTGATCAGCGATTATCTTTGTCACTCTTCGGAAATGGCTGTGTAAGTGCTTCTCTTACCCTATTTTCTCGGGATATTGTGCTGTCTTTTATTAGAAATCTCTGATATCCTGTTTATCTGATGAATCTGTGAAATTTTTCTCTTGATTCGAATTGGTGTTAACCTCGTTTCTTAATTTTTTGTGTGGGTAGAGTATCTTAAGAGACTGTAAAAGGGATCAATCTTATTGAATTCTGTGTTAAAAAAAATTCTTTGATGTAGTGTTGCTTCTGCTCCTGGGAAGGTTTTGATGACTGGAGGCTACCTCGTACTCGATAAGCCAAATGCAGGGATTGTGTTGAGTACAAATGCACGGTTCTACGCGATTGTGAAGCCGATCAATGAAGATGTCAAGCCTGAAAGTTGGGCATGGGTATGTCTCTTCTTCTCATTTATGTGTTATTGGGAAGTAATATTGTTGCAGTATTGAGGGGTTATTCTGTTGTGTGAGACAATTGTTGGTTTGTTTGTTTGCTTATTTTGCCAGAAATGGACAGATGTCAAATTAACATCACCACAGCTCTCGAGAGAAAGCATGTTTAAGCTGTCACTGAAACATTTGACTCTTCAGTCTGTGTCTGCAAGGCAAGATCCGAGAGACTTTTTCAGATGCGCTGCATCTTTTTTTCTTATCTCGAACATATAAGTCTGTGGGATTTCATTTTTCAAATATAGGTGATAGAGCACTTACACTGTCTTTTTTCTTTCTGAAAAAATAATCAGTGATTCAAGAAACCCCTTTGTAGAGCATGCGATACAGTATGCTATAGCTGCTGCTCATTTGGCAACCGACAAGGACAAAGAAGCATTGCACAAACTCTTATTGCAAGGCAATCTTCAAGTCCCTGCTTTTTTCTAATCATTTTTGTTCATGAAGACGAGATTGGATGAGTAACTATTTCTCTAAATGTGTGTTTGCAGGTCTTGATATCACAATATTAGGCTCCAATGACTTTTACTCATATCGGAACCAGGTTTTCTATCTTTTTCTTTGCTGAAAACTATCTAAAGTACATTTGCATTTGTTGATCTTTCCTTTGATTATTCAAATCCTCTTGAGATGCTTGTACAAAGTGTTGATATATTCTTGTTTATTCTGATAGATAGAATCGCTTGGGCTTCCATTGACACCAGAATCGCTGGGTACCCTAGCACCTTTTGCATCAATCACATTTAATGCTGCGGAGTCAAATGGTGCTAATTCCAAGCCTGAAGTAGCAAAAACTGGCTTAGGTTCTTCTGCAGCAATGACAACAGCTGTGGTTGCAGCTCTGTTACATTATCTTGGAGTGGTTGACCTATCCGATCCATGTAAAGAAGGAAAGTTTGGTTGTTCTGATCTAGATGTTATCCATATGATAGCGCAAACGTCTCATTGTCTTGCACAAGGGAAGGTTGGGAGTGGGTTCGATGTCAGCTGTGCTGTGTATGGGAGTCAGCGTTATGTTCGCTTCTCTCCAGAAGTCTTGTCATTTGCTCAGGTTTATAACGAGAAGTTTGTTGTCTATATATATATTCTCCACTAAGGATGGGATTATACTGACTCCCAAGTTTTGTAGGTTGCAGTAACAGGTCTGCCAATAAATGAAGTTATTGGTACAATTTTGAAGGGAAAATGGGACCATGAGAGAACCGAGTTCTCTTTACCACCACTGATGAATCTTGTAAGCAAACAATTAGACCTAAAGTCTTACCTGGACAAACCTGTCGTGAACTTCACCAACTTCTTATTTCCTTGACTTCTGTGAAATCTGGTGTACTAACAAGATGTTGTCTTATATAGTTCCTTGGAGAACCTGGAAGTGGGGGATCCTCCACACCATCAATGGTAGGTGCTGTAAAGAAGTGGCAAATGTCTGATCCAGAGAAGGCACGAGAAAATTGGCAGAAGTTGTCAGATGCAAATTTAGAACTGGAAACTAAGCTAAACGTTCTAAGCAAATTAGCTAAAGACCACTGGGATGTTTATCTAGGAGTCATTAAGTCTTGCAGTGTGCTTACTTCTGAAAAGGTATTTTTCCTTTCCCTGAGTATTGATTTCGCTAGATATTTTATATGGAGGGGCAGTTTGGTTCATTTGCCTCTTGTATCTCATGTTTAGTGGGTGCTACATGCTACTGAACCAATCAACGAAGCCATTATTAAAGAACTCTTAGAGGCAAGAGAAGCTATGTTGAGGATCAGAATTCTTATGCGCCAGATCGGTGAGGCTGCCAGTGTTCCGGTAAGTGATTGTTTTATTCTGTTTTGATACTTGCTTCAGATTTCAGCTTACCATTTGTGCATGATAACTTTGTCTTGATGCATAAAATACTCGCTGGCTGTAGAATCTTAATAGCATACACAAATATAAGGGTTCCCCAACTCACGCAGTAGAACAAATTGACTTGTTTTACATCTTCATTGACCTTGAGGGACCATGGAATTGCAGATAGAGCCTGAATCCCAAACTCAACTTCTGGATTCTACAATGAATGCTGAAGGAGTTCTACTTGCTGGTGTTCCTGGAGCTGGTGGATTTGATGCCATATTTGCAATCACTTTAGGGGATTCCGGCAGCAAACTGACCCAGGCATGGAGTTCGCACAATGTTTTGGCCTTGTTGGTGAGAGAAGATCCACACGGCGTTTGCCTAGAAAGTGGTGATCCACGCACCACAGGTATTACTTCAGGCGTCTCATCAATTCTTCTTGAGTAAGCAACATTGTTTGGCAGTGTCCTATTATTAGGTGCATCACCAAGTTCGGATGAGTATACTGTTTTTCATGTAGACTTGGGTGCTAAATTTCTTGGTGTAAGCACTTCACCGTGCATTTTTTCACCCATTGTAAGATCTTTAACTCTTGGAAAACTTGCGGGAAAGTAAAATAAAGTTGATTTTAAATGTTCTCTGTTGTGTTTGTTTTTATTCACTGCTTCTGTTATTGGTATCTTCATGCTTAAAAGAGCCTGGAACAGGAAATTAACATTAGAGAAACTGAAGGATTTGAACCTACCAATAATCTTTACAAGAACAAGTTCCACCTTTAAACAGGTGAAACCTATTTCTGTCTCTTACAACAATCTCTCTTTCGTAGATCATGGAGATTTTCTTTGTATATGTGTGACAGTCACTACACATCCTCAGGTTTCTAGCTATTTTAATGATAGACCCTGGAGGTGTATACAATAGTGCAAAGGCAATAGCCACCTTTTGGCTGTGTCCTTTTAGTCTCTCTTTCTTTTCTTCTTCATCTACGTTTAGCAATATCTGTGTCAAGTCTGGTGAATATCCTTCGAACTTTAGTTGCCATTCCATCTGGTGTAGCATCTTGTAGATTTCTTTGCATTGTGGGTGCGATCGATCTTGTGAAACAAACCTATGGGTTTTACCTTTTACCTCGACAGTGCTAAAACCCGGGGTTTGCTTCAAACCCTTGATAGCGATTTCTGTTCGAGCTCTGGCTACATCATCCCACATTTGAGCTTGTGAATACATGTTAGAGATCAGCAAATAATCACCTGGGTTGTGTGAGCTTAGCTTAAGGAGTTCTTGAGCTGCTATTTGGCCTAGCTCAATGTTCTGATGAACTCTGCATTGGCTTAAGAAGGTTCTCCAGACAACATCATTTTGCTCAATGGGTATGCTTTGGATAGTCTCCAATGCTTCCTCGAGCAATCCGGCTCTTCCCAGAAGATCTACAAGACAGCCATAATGCTCAGCCGTTGGCTCCACCTTACCTTCCTTTAACATTTGTTCGAAGACTCGACGACCTTCTTTAACAAGACCAGAGTGGCTACAGGCATTGAGAACACTGACATACACAACATGATCTGGTTCTAAGCCTTCTTTGATCATCTCAGAGAACATTCTTAAAGCTGATTCTCCTTCTCCGTGCAACGCAAATCCTGAGATCATTGCACTGTAAGTCAAATTATTCCTCTTTTCCATCTTCTGAAATATATGCAACGCTTTGTCTAAGCACCCGCATTTAACGTACATATCTACAAGTGAAGTTTGGACTATTATGTTGAGTTCGCTTATGTTTCTCAACAGGAAGCCATGGATGCTCATTCCTAGATTGAGTGCACCTGTGTTGGCACAAGCTGAGAGAGCACTAACCATTCCACTTTCCTCAGCCTTCAAATTCGTTTCTCTACACATTTCACCGAATAACATCAAGCATTCGCTCCACAATCCCATGCCTACACAAGCAGAAACCATTGAGCTCCAAGACGCAGCTGTTTTAAATTCCATTTTATAAAAAACCGCAGAAGAAAGTTCCATCTCTCCACATCTTCCATACATATTAATCAAACTATTCTGAACAAACACATCAGCTTCAAGACCAAGCTTAAACACGTGCCCATGAATCTGCTTCCCTTCTCGAATCGACTTCAAACGAGTACAAGCCTTGAGAAGACACGGGTACGTGAAATTATCTGGCTCAATCCCTCTCTCCATCATCTCATTGTAAAAACACAATGCTACCTCAAAACTCATTTCGTTAACATACCCTCTAATCATTGTATTGAAATCAAAGGTACAAGGATCATCAATGCCTCGGAATATCGAAGCTGCGTAATTCATACTGTTCTCCCACCCCGAGTGAGTGCATTTTGCGAGAACGCTGCTAGCTGAGAATGAAGAAGAGCAGAACAAACTTAGCTTGATGAATCTGGCGTGAACTTGCTTGAACTCGTCAATGTTGTTGCATCTCTTCAAGAGGTATAAACATTCTTGCTCTTTCCCTCCAAAGTTGTTGACTTCTGGGTTATGTGTTAAATCGTCTCTAGAAGCCAATAGAGACTGTAGAATTGGTGCCTTGATCATCCTCTCCTCGTAACCATTAAGAAACTAGGGATTTGGTGTCCGAAAATGTTTTCTGATGATCGAAGAAAGATTTTTCAAAAATTTAGGGAGGGGTTTTGAATCTCATCCCTCGAGATTTTCATGGAAAATAAGAGCCACAAGTACAAAATATATTCTGATAAGTTCGTGATGAGTGAGAGAGAATAGAGAGTGGGTGCTTTGGATTTTCTCTCCATGCTATGTCAGTTTTTGGGACCCACCTTAAATTGAGATTAAAACACGAATTCATTGTGGTTCAATTTCGGTTCGGTTCTTCTAAACCGGTCTAATCGAAACATTGAATTGCAGCTGTCACGGGATTTTGTAGTTGTCAGAAACCAAAACAGGTTTTCTTTGACAAATGAAGTCTTCTCACAAAACTGAAATAATTGAGATAATAGGAATTTTGTGAAACCGTTTCATAAATAGAAATGTCAATTTATGTTGGTGAATCATTTTTCAAATGAGTATTAACAATATACCACAATTATGGTACCCTAATCACGTATATGTTTATAAGGTTTTTTTTTGGGTTCAATATAATAGTCAAAAGATAACAGACAGGGTGGGTCGTCATTAAGTTTTACTAATTATAAATTTGACTATGATAGTGTGTTGTTTCATCTAAATTGGCGCATAATCTTTGGTTTCTGTCAACATTTGAAACCCACTGAAAACAGTGAATCAAATCTGCTTTTTAATTAAAACGCCATTTATAATTTTAGACATCATCCCAAAAAAACCTCATTATAGCTCAGAAAATCCAGTTATATATAGAATATGTGAATGAATATATGGCCAAACAACGTCACAACACAATAATAATGTCATTCCTCACATGCGTACTCTGATTTTGAAATTTCAAATATTAAAAAAAGTCGACAACGCTTATGCGCATTGCGCATATTAGTTAGCATATACAGTTCTTTGTATATATATGAATGCTAATTAATTCTCAACGGTTTTCAGACACACTTGGAAATAAATATTAACTGTAAGTTAATCAAAATATAAATTATAAAATCATTAAAATGTTGACATTAATTCCATATATGGTTTTTTTACATTTCAAGCGTGCGAGTGTGTCGTGTAGATTCTGATACACACGCGCATTTAGGCGCGTGGGGGTTAAACGTAACTAGTGTGTGTGTAAGAACCAAATTATTAGATTGGTCGTGACAATATGAACCACTCGCTAGAAAAAAGCCGTGAAAACCACGCGCTTTCACCACCCGTCTCCATCGTCACGAACTATGTAAGACTCGTGGGTCCTTTTTCGATTCATCTCTATAGATTTCACCGTCTCTCTGCCGTTTCCTTTCTCCAGACTCAGAGAGAAAAAACAAATATCACAGCTACCAAAACAGATTCCTCTTACTTCTTCTTCTTCTGGAGTTCGTCTTCTCAGATTCAGCTTCGACTTTTTTTGTTTCTCTATCTCTCTCTCTCTCTACCCATGTTTCTTCACTTTTATACAAAAGGTGAGATTTTTCATCTTTCTTCTTTTACAAAAGATTTATTTTGTTCTGTTGCTTTAATTGGTGGCTTCCTTCAGAGACAGCTCAATTTTTGGTTTCATTCTCTTTGAAATTTTTATGAATTTGCTTAATCTATCAACAGTCATGATCTGAAATTTTGCTGCATGTATTCTTAGCAAATTCGATTTGGTAGTGGATTCAGAATAATTTACCAGTTTAGTTTTTTTTTCCTTTTATTTTCTTCTCTAGGCTGCGTTCAAAGCTGGAAACTTTTAAGTGGGTTTGGTTAGATGTTGAATTGTTTTTTCGTGGACAATTGATTTGACCATGAATTTGTCAAAATGTCATTTAAAAAGCTTTTCCTTTTTAGGTTTCAATGCTCTTGTGATACGTCCATTTTTGCCGGCTATTTGACTTTGATTTTATTGATATGACAAAGCCAATTTGGTAACACATATAATATCCTAATCTAACTCTTTCTTGTTTTTATCGTCTCTGTGTCTGAACCAGGAACCTTGTTTTGTCTTAAATCAGAGAAATGGTGATGTGATTTGTGTTTTTTTTAGAGTTTCATCTTGTAATTTGTTATTGGTAGTGGTGGCTCTTTGGATTTTGTAAAAACATGGAGAGGAAAGATGAAGGTGAAAGCTGGAAAGAAATGGTGAGAAAGATGCTTCCTCCTGGAGCTCCTTTACCGGAAGATCCATCGGAATTTGATTACTCCATTGCTTTAGAGTACACTGGTCCTCCTCCGGTTCATGATATCCCTAGAGTTTCACCTGTTGATGTTAACCCTCCTAGAGTGAACAATCCGATCCCATTACCGGTTTCTCGTATAGCGGGAGGAGTCACAAGCTCTTCGGGAGGTTCGCCAGCTAGCTCTGAGTCTGTAGTCTCTGTGTTGCATAATAACCCTGAATCATCATCTGGCTCAGCTTCTGTGTCACCAGTTTCTGGTCATAGACAAAATGGGAATCAGATTCGTAGACCGGTTGTCAAATTCAAACCTGTTGATGATCATGATAGGATTGAAGGTAGAGAAGCTGCAGAGGAGGATAACAACAATGTGGAGGCAGAGACAGAGAGGGAGAGGAAGGTCCATGAGTCTACCGCAAGTACGAAGAGAAGGAAGAAGAATAAGAAGAGAGAGTGTTCTAGATGTGGAAAAGCGAAATGGGAAAATAAGGAGACTTGTATTGTTTGTGATGAAAAGTATTGTGGAAACTGTGTGCTTAGAGCGATGGGTTCGATGCCTGAAGGAAGAAAGTGTGTGAGTTGTATTGGTCAAGCTATTGATGAATCGAAACGGTCTAAATTAGGGAAGCATTCGCGGGTATTGTCGCGGTTGCTTAGTCCTTTAGAAGTTAAACAGATCATGAAGGCGGAAAAAGAATGTACTGCTAATCAGCTGAGACCTGAGCAGTTGATTGTGAATGGGTACCCGTTAAAGCCCGAGGAAATGGCTGAGTTGCTCAACTGTCTTTTACCGCCTCAGAAGTTGAAACCCGGTAGATATTGGTACGACAAAGAATCTGGTCTATGGGGAAAGGTAATATACTATATATATAACGGTTTTGGTACTTGTTTCAGGTTGAAATTGCTTTGTTTGTTGTTTATTGGCTAATGTTGTTGTGAACAGGAAGGAGAGAAACCAGATAGAGTCATTAGCTCAAACTTGAACTTCACGGGGAAGCTGTCCCCGGACGCAAGCAATGGGAACACGGAAGTTTATATTAACGGTCGGGAGATCACAAAGCTTGAATTAAGGATTTTGAAGGTAACGTTTGACATTGTCTTGTTTTAAGTGTCACATGTCAAGAAACAATCGAATATAAACCTTGTTTGTGTGGATATTTTTCAGCTAGCAAATGTACAGTGTCCACGTGATACTCATTTTTGGGTATACGACGATGGGCGTTATGAGGAAGAAGGGCAGAATAATATTCGAGGAAACATTTGGGAGAAGGTAAATATAATAACTCTTCATCAGATCCTTATAATATGTGGCTGTTTTAAGAAATATCACGAGTTTTTTTGTTTTGTTTAACAGGCATCTACGAGGTTTATGTGTGCGCTGTTTTCTTTACCTGTTCCTCAAGGACAACCTCGCGGAACGGTGCAACCACCGAGTAATTATGTTACTGTTCCGAATTATATAGAGCATAAGAAGATTCAGAAGCTTCTACTTCTTGGTATCGAAGGGTCTGGAACTAGCACTATCTTCAAACAGGTAATGTTTAATGGATGTAATGTGGGAAAAATAAAGAGATAACTCTGCGGTTTCAATCGTTGCTTATCGAGATTTCTTGTTGACTGAAACAGGCCAAGTTTTTGTACGGAAACAAGTTTTCAGTGGAAGAGCTTCAAGATATAAAGCTGATGGTACAGAGCAATATGTATAGATATCTCAGTATCCTACTCGATGGAAGAGAACGGTTTGAAGAGGAAGCTTTATCGCATACAAGAGGTTTAAACGCCGTTGAAGGAGATTCGGGAGGTACCATTTTCCCATTACAAAACGATTAAATTTGGCTTTCATAAATGAGTTTCTTGATTCCTTGAAATGTTCTTGCAGGCGAGGAAGCAAACGACGATGGAACTGTCACTACACCACAATGCGTCTATACCTTGAACCCGAGGTTGAAGCATTTTTCGGATTGGCTTCTAGATATCATAGCAACTGGTGATCTCGATGCGTTTTTCCCAGCTGCAACACGTGAATATGCTCCATTGGTTGAAGAAGTTTGGAAAGATCCGGCGATACAAGCAACATATAGACGAAAAGATGAGCTGCATTTCCTTCCTGATGTCGCGGAATACTTCTTGAGCCGGGTATGAACGGAACCCGGGTTTAGGTTCTGTTGTTATATTTTCCGTATTGATTCAAGTGTTAACTTAGGCTTCATTTGCAGGCCATGGAAGTATCAAGCAACGAATATGAGCCTTCGGAGCGAGATATTGTGTATGCAGAAGGTGTTACACAAGGAAATGGATTAGCTTTCATGGAGTTTTCTCTCAGTGAACACAGTCCAATGTCTGAATCTTACCCCGAAAACCCCGACGCCTTATCATCTCCTCAACCAAAGTACATATCGGTTAACACTCAATTAATTTCCGCAATCTTGAACAGCAAACTTTGGTACTTATTATCATCAATCCTTTCTGTTGCAGGTACCAGCTTATCCGCGTAAACGCAAAGGGGATGAACGATAGCTGCAAATGGGTAGAAATGTTTGAAGATGTACGAGCAGTAATCTTCTGCATCAGCTTAAGCGATTACGATCAGATCAGCATAACACCCGAAAGCAGCGGAACAGTCCAGTTTCAGAACAAAATGATCCAAAGCAAAGAACTTTTCGAATCAATGGTCAAGCACCCGTGTTTCAAAGACACGCCTTTTATCTTGATCCTAAACAAATACGACCAGTTCGAGGAAAAGCTAAACCGTGCACCGTTAACATCTTGCGACTGGTTCAGCGATTTCTGCCCGGTGAGAACGAACAACAACGTGCAGTCACTAGCTTACCAAGCTTACTTCTACGTAGCAATGAAGTTCAAGCTTCTTTACTCGTCTATCACGGGTCAGAAACTGTTTGTGTGGCAAGCTCGGGCTAGGGACCGCGCGAATGTGGATGAAGGGTTTAAGTATGTGAGAGAGGTTTTGAAATGGGACGAAGAGAAGGAAGAGAGTTACTTAAATGGTGGTGGAGAAGATTCCTTTTATAGTACGGATATGAGTTCGTCACCATATAGACCGGAGGAGTGAAAGATTTCTATCTCCCGGAGGAAACTCTTGATTAATGATTTGTTGTTATTTTTAACTTTAAGTAGAGAGATAATTAATGTGGGAAGAAGAGAAATAAAATTATTTGTAATCTTTGTGTTATATTTGGTTTATTTGTTCGTAGAAATTTTTTATTTGAATGACAAGGTTTTGTAAAATATTAAATGCGGCAAAACCAAATTGTTTCTTTGCGATTTTTTTACACTAATGTATATGAAGATTAAAGAAAAAGTTATTAATAAAAGCTAGTAGAGAGATTAGTTATTTTGTCTAGAGAATAAAACATATCCAATCTTTTAAGATGATAGATAGATAGATAATCAGTGAATTGTTGTGATCTTTTTGGACAAAGAATAATATGATATATTTTATATTTTAAAATTAGAAAGAGTATAAGAAGTTTGGTGAACTGTACAAATACTATCATGTGAGTCATGAGAGTAACTTCAAACCTTTTTTTTTTTTTTTTTAAATTTCCATTAGAAAAAAGGGTCCAACAACATACATGGCAAAAGCCCAAATAGAGGCCACAGGCCCACACCAGAAGGAAACAAACCTTATTCTGGAATCAACAACCTAACAAAAGAGAGAAACGAAAAGAGCAGAGGAACTTCACTGAAACAATGAGAACCAAGTTGCTAGGAGGGTTAGAGCAGGAGGGATACACGGCTGTTTTCTCGAGAGAGGATCTAGTCTTGCCCTGGCGATCATCTTAATTTCCTTGATGAGCGAAGGCGCAGACCTAGGAGAGGCAGAATGAATCCGCTGGTTCCTTTCCCGCCAGATTAAGTACATGGAAGCTTGATGAAGGAGCTTGATTATGAGAGTGATATTCTTGTTTCTCGAAACAGTATCAACCCAAAGGAGACAGCTCATAAACTGGATTGGAGGAGTCAAGTTAGCCTTTGAAGTGAAGTAGCCCCAAATGCTAGTACTGAATCTGCAAGCAAAAAACAAATGATCCCTGGACTCGTCTTGGGAATTACAAAGGATGCAGGAAGCCGGGACAGCCAAGCCCCAGTTCCTCAATTTGTCTCTCGTGTGCAGCCTATTCCAAGCATCAATCCAAGAAATGAAGGCATGTTTTGGGATGTTGCCACTGAACCACACAGACTTGTTCCAAGGAACCGTGGCTTGAGGAGGATAGAGGGCAAGCCAAGTCTTAGACGCAGAGAAGGTGTTTGAGGGAGCATGATGATCATGTTTCCATAGATATGAATCATCATGCTGGCTCTCAATCATGTTCTCCGGACTTGGGAGGATATTTCTTAGTAAGGTGATGGTCTGGTTCCTGCTTCTAGAAGAAGAAAGCCTCCAGGAGTTCCCAGCAACAGCATCCCTAACCACAGCATCAAGAGGCAACCCAATAGTTTGTGGACCAAGAGGACCAGTTAAATCAATAAGAGGTCCATACCCTGTCCAATTATCCTGCCAAAACTTTGCAATGATACCAGACCCCAATTCGCAGACATGGAATGGTCTAGCAAGAGGTCTAAGTTTGCAAAGCTGTCTCCAAATCCAACTACCGGAGGAAGCCTTCAATTCAAAGCAAAGGTTTTTAATTTCCTTCTTATCTCTTTTTCTTCTTTCTTTTTGAATTCAATTTATAGTCTCTCTCACATCCATATTACCAATTTTAGGGAAAAAACAGTAATGGGTCACTTGAAGCTCTCATCTTCTACAAGAACTCTTCTTCTTGTTCTCTTGATCTTTCACCTTGTTCTGGTTTCTACAGAAGAAAATCGGGCCGTTGGATTGCATCAAAGAACATCTACTGAATCCCACAGTGGCAGATGTTTATACAGTTCCTGAATCTTCAGTTTGAATTGAAGATTTGTTTAGACAATTATCAGTTGTTGCAAGCACTTTAAGAAGGAATAAAGTCTCTATGTATTTTCTTAATGTTGAAGTAACAACTAAAGTGGATAAACAAAGTTTCTTTGAGTCTATTAAGTACTTTTCTCTCTTACCATATATATAAGGCTGGTATGGTAAAATTACTTGAGAGGAGAAACCAATGTATAATCCAGAAGTGCAAAAGTTCAAGCTTTACCAATGTATAAGACAAATATTGAGGAAACCTTTTTATTGAGTAAAAGAATCTCGAAAAAATTCCCAATTTATAGTTTTACTTAAACTCATTCATATCTAGAACATATTGTTATGTTAATGGAGATCTATATCTGCTCTTTGGCTCAGGGTCTCCTCCAGCTGCTAGGCTTGTCCAAAGCCATTGGTTACCAATAACATTAAGTATCGGTCCTGATGCGAACTGAGGCTGTGCTAAAAGAATATTGCAACGTCTTGCATAGTGCAGCTTTTGAATAGCCCTGACGAACGCCGAGACTCCTGAGAAGTCTTCTGAGATTATCATCAGATTTGATTCTCCAAGCCTATTCATTGCCCACGAAAAAACATCCACTATAATCTCAGCAACTCTCTCATCTTTATTTCCTGGAAAACATCATATAAATCAAAACGCACGTCTAGATTACTTTTTTTTTGTTTTTTTGATACCTCAGGTGATCCTAAAGGGAGGCCGGAGAAACCATGTTAAATTGCTCGAACCCCGGTGGTCAATGCTACTCAAACACAGGTGGCGGGAATTACCTCCCGACCAAGGCGACTTGGTTACATCTACATTACTTACATTTAAAGGAAAAAGGAAAAAAAAAAGGTTTAGGGTTTAGGGGATTCACCTGCAGGTCTGTTAACGATATCGACTCCGGCGTATCGTAAGACCTTAAAAGTATTTTTCTGGCTCTCATAATCGCCATAAACCGTGATTGTCAAACGACCACAATAGCCGTTCTTATTGAGCGCAGACTTGATATTATCGACAGCGTAAAAAGGTCTAATATCGTCAGGGACTTTGCAATCATCGATGTACCAGAACACCTCCGTACTTGCCTTCATCAAATTTTCAGGCTCAAAAGCCATCTCTGAGAAAGAAAACAGACGAGGCACAGAGACGAGCGAGAAAAGAGGAAAATTAGGGTTCGATTCTTTTGGTGCACGTTTAATCGGGTATTAATCCTCTGAGAAAAATGTAATCTACTTTGGGCCATTTAATTGGGCCTTGTTAAATGATTCGATCGAAAATGTTGTATTTGCCCTAAAATGTAATCTACTTGTCGTATTTGCCCTAAATGATTCGATCGAAACGTTGTTCCTCCTCTGTCTTTCCTCTTTCTTTCATTGTTCTCTGTGACAATAAGGGAGGTTGGTGATTTAACCATGTCAATCTATCTATCTCTCCGATAGCTTATCTGATGTGATGCGATCTGGTTTCCCAATTTTGATATTGATTTCTTCGTGTGTGTTAGGTTTTAAGTCTTAAATGATGAAGAAGAATGATGCTAAAACCTCGGTGTGGTGGGATATTGACAGGTATCCGGTTCCAGGCGACTGTGATGCTCATCAGATTGCTCCAAGTATAAAACGGGCATTGTGTAGTTTAGGTTACTACGGTCCTCTCACCATCACTGCTATTGGAAAACTGACAGACGTCCGTCATGCAGACCTGCAAGCTCTCTATTCCACCGGAATCGCTTTTAAAATAGTCGCCTCCAGTTAGTATCTTCTTCTTCTTCTTTTTTTTTTTTCCATTAGGGTTTTAGATTCAACTGGTTGCCGTCTCTCTCAAGTCTTTAGTTTGTGAAACAGGGGCGGTAAGCATTTTGGGCGACATGTCTGAGTGGACGGAAACAAATCCACCTCCGGCTAATATAATGCTCATATCCGACAATGAAGTCTTATGGCCTTCTCTTGGAGGGATGCGGTTGAATAAGGGATACAACATTCTGTATGCATATCTTCCAGAATGCATGCAGGATCTCAACTTTCCTGCAGAGTGCCTCTGGCCAAACATACTAGCAGGTGTTTGTCCGCTCTCGTGTTGAAATTATAACAATCTAAGCTGTTTCTGAACTTGTTAGTTTTTTTTTGTTTCCCGTAGATGCAAGGGAGACCCGAAGAAATGAGCTTCAGGAGCAGTGCAGCGAAACGGGTGAACCTGCCTGGTTGTGCAAAGCATGCGAACATTCTGGAGATCAAAGCTTTGGAAATTTCTTCACGCATCTCAACAGCGAGGAACATTCACAGATAGTAAGCATCCTAGCCAAATTGATTTGTTGTATCAATCGCGCGCCCCTAACTATATATAGGGTCTATTGAGTCAACAAAACCTCTGTTTTTCTCCCTTTCTCACATCTAGTTATCTTTGACCCCATGTTATCTTTTTCCATTGGATCAAGCAGATGTTGGATCGTTAATTTGCCCGCACGCTACTACCATGGTGAAGAAGCAATCTAAGGTAAGTTTTCATATCTTCAAAGTATAATTAAGTAACTTGGCTGAAAAAGAAGCATATAGAAGTCAATCTGCTTGAAGTTTGTTTTGAGAGCCTTACCGGATATTTAATTAGTGCATTCAATTTCATAATGTTTTCGTTAAGATAGGAGTCTTTTGCAAGGTTCAATTGATATCTTTTTTTAACTTATTGTTCTTCGTTGGATCTTGATAAGAAGAGTGTCTTGGAGTGTTTATATGCAAAATGTGATATTATAGTGATTGAAATCTAAAGCAAAAATACGTTTACTTTTGTTATTGATATTCATGTTTGAAATCATCTTTATTTGATCCTTCAAAAATCAATCTTGTTCTTTGCATGGTGCAGATTTGACGACACAACAGAGATTAAGTGGATTCCAAGATTCTTTTGGAGTTAGATGTCTCATGGATTCCAAGAGACATGAAAAAGAGAGAAAGCCAATCAGAAAGGTAAAGAAACCTAATTACCAAACGACGTGGGGATCGACATCGATTTCTCGTGAAACAGTGGTGTTGCGTATATGTAATTGGCATAACACTTGGAAAGAAACACTCTTGTTAAATTTCCTTTTTTCATAACTTTAATCTGTTAGATAGAAGACATTTCACTATTTTCATTTTAAAATTTAAAAACATTAAAGAGCTAGTAGAGAGATTAGTTATTTTGTCTAGAGAATAAAACATATCCAATCTTTTAAGATGATAGATAGATAGATCTATAATCAGTGAATTGTTGTGATCTTTTTGGACAAAGAATAATATGATATTTTATATTTTAAAATTCTTAGCAAAGAGTAGAAGAAGTTTGGTGAACTGCACAAATACTATCATGTGAGTCATGAGAGTAACTTCAATTCAAAGCAAAGGTTTTTACTTTCCATCTTATCTCTTTTTCTTCTTTCTTTTTGCATTCTATTTATTGTCATCATTTCAAGTCTCTCTCACATCCATATTGCCAATTTTAGAAAAAAAGAAGAGAGTAATGAGTCACTTGAAGCTCTCATCTTCTACAACAACTCTTCTTATTAATCTCTTGATCCTTCACTTTCTTATGGTTTCTGCAGATTCTACAAGAACTCAAGTCATTAATGTGATGGACCATGCAGCCACAGGAGGTAATCAAGCCGTTGGTTTGCATCAAAGAGCAAGGATTAACCACGGGAGCTATCGTGGGCCACGAAAACATCTAGCGAATCCCACAGTGGCAGATGTTTACACAGTTCCTGAATCTTCAGTTTGAGTTGAAGATTTAATTATACAAGATCAGTTGTTCCAAGCAAAATAAGAAGGAATAAAAATTCCATGTAATTTCTTCATGTTGAAGTAAAAACCAAAGTGGATAAACAAAGTTTCTTTGAGTTTGCAAAGTACTTTTTTCTCTTACCATATATAATGCTGATAGTGAATCTTTACTTGAGGAGAACTCAATGCATAATACACTGCAAAAGTTAAAAGCCTAAAGGGCAAAAATCCTATAAAAAGTAAAACCATGGATCAAGATCAGTTAAAGTGTTTTAAAGTTCTCTGCTTACCGCTTAGACAACGCTGGCTCTACCGCTTTTCTAAATCTGCGAAAAATGATGAAGAAGTACAGCTCGGAAATAGTTGAATGAGAGTGAAAAAGAAAAGACTTCCATTGTAGAATATTGGTGTTGAGATATATAGAGCATAAGCTTAATGAACCTTAGATTCCTATATAATATATATAACATACACTATGATTTGGTTTTGTTCTGGCACACACATACGTAAAATCGTAAACAACGAAAAACAGAGATTCAAGAGTGGTTTTGAGGAACAAGCTTGTATCGGTGTGATAATATCTTATAAACTATATCGAGTTTAAGGAACTTTGTTCATCCATTCTTAGATGTTACCGGCGGCATCGTGCTGCATTCTTCTAGTAGATTTAGCAAGTTGTGTTCAGGGGCACTAAGTGATGGCAAGATCGAACGGTTTGGCAGAGGCGGGCGTGGCGGTTTTGGTGCGGATCCATCAGACTCAGAAGCAGCCTCATCTTTCGGAGTTAGCAAATCACCTTTTCTCCTAATAGACGCGGATACTCTCTCCTTCCAGATTCTTCCATCCTGTTTCATGGAATTCCCAAAAACGTTTACAAACTCAAAACTAAGAGCTTAGAATCAACAAAGAACCATATTTTCATGAATGTTACATTAAGAATGGATGGTTCTGGCAATGGACACTGAATCGGTAAGTCGTTATCCAAAGGCTCGACGGGGTGTTCCACCGGTTTAAACTCTGTAGCTACTTCAATCCCATGAGTAGCAGAAGTTGCAGTTGTGGTAGTTGCTGCAACAACATCAGAATTTGGAGCCAATACTTCCTTATCATCCTGATCAAAACAAAACCCAATTCATATAATTGAAAAAGGCCAAAGCTTTTAAGGCAGAATCTATCATCCATTGGTTGAATCTGGAATTGAAGCTAAACGAATTACTGTAGAATCTCTAATCTGGGTATTTCAAATCCGAGCTAAAGGAGAGATTTTTCCACTGTTTTGAACAAAACAAAAGATCTAAACATGTTCCATAGATTGAACTTTCATAAGAATCGAATCTAAATTGAAAGTTTCATCGAACCCAGAAGTTGTAAAAGAGGAAAAAGAGAGCTTACGATTGCACTTTGGGTTCGTCGATGGCTGCTTCTACCAACAGAGAATCTTGAAAATATACCAACCATTGAATCTGAAATCTTGATTTTGATTCTTGACTTTGAGTGAGCCCAAGAGTTTTATTATATATGGAGAAGACGAAGAAACAAAAGAGAAATTTATCTTCAACCACTTGAAAAGAAGGTTGCTTTATATCTTCAAAGGAACTTGGTGAATGAATGGATGATAAATGCTTTTTGGTTTGTTTAAAGCTTTGCTTTTGATTTGCTTATTGCTTAAGCAGATTCTTACTTACTTAATGCCTTGTACACTCTGATTCGTTTACTTTTTGTTGTCCTTCTTCAGTTTTTTTTCTTGGATTTGGAAAATCTAATTATCATATTATTCTAATGAATGTATTTTTTTGTGTGTCTAATTGAAGATTTAGAATCATAACTGTCTGTACTAAACTAGTGGCGTTATTTTAATAAATGTTGAGAGTAAAGATAATTTTGTTTTTTGTTTTTTTTTTTCATGTCACGGTCCAACTCAAACCTCATTCACCAAAAAAATATATGGACCCAATATCTATGTGTAAATAAAATTTTGTAGATGGGATTACTTTTTTAAAAGCTTAATGAATTAGTCAACTTTTTTTTTCATCTGAATAATTCATTAAGCTTTTCAAAGAGTAATGTTACATTTCTTGAAAAATGATCAAAAGTAATCATCAACAAAAATAAAAATGGCATTACTTTCAAGCAATACAACTCTCGCTAGTGAACATTACTTATAACTTAAAAAGGTAACTTTGTGCTACGTATGATTGACTTCTATCCTTTGTAGTCACTTTGCGAGCATTAAGAAAAGCACCATTGTTTGCCTTCGTTTCTTCATGCTCAAAATGCTAATCCGAAATGCCAAAACAATCCTTTCCACCTGATTTTTAAAGGATGGCTAAACCCTCAGTTTGGAAACTACATTAACAATGTATTTGCTATCAATCGCAAAGATTACTCTTGAAATCTTGAAATTGACCATGCTTTCCATCGTTCATAAGTAACTCACCAATTCTGCTTCATCCTTAGCCACCAATTTTGCTTCATCCTTAGCACAATTAGCTCCAAAGGTTCTTCTGCTATGAAGAAGAACTGTCCTGTTGGTGTCGGATCCCGCACCAGTAGACCGGGACCAACCAAAGATCGCCACGTAGTCAGGATAAAGGCCCGCAAAGAATAAGGCCCATTAAAACCCAAGGTGTATAGGATATAGTCGAAGTGGGCATCATCACGAAGGGAACTCGAAGTGGTCCATTTCGGGATATGACTCGGAGTCAAAGTCAGGATGGTTCAAAGTAAGTTGGGCCAAAAGGCGAAGCCCATGAAGATCGGAATCAATTCAAATTCAAACGTTGAGCATTAAACTCGAAGACCAAAACGGACACATTTAAGAGAGAATAATTGTGTTTAATTGAGAGTTAAATGTCGTTTGTCAATATAAATAAGAGGGCTAATAGCCATGTAAAGGATACGCAATTTTTCTAGCAAATACACTATAGTTATTCCCATTACAATTCATAGCTTTTTTATCATATTTTTGTCCTCAAGAGTAATCATTCCCACTAAATAAACAAATATTCAAGTGTGCGAATCCGACATCCACATTTTGGCGCCGCCTGTGGGGATCTAGAAGATTCTTGAGTTGTCAGATTTCTCTCATTCCGAGATAAGCAGCAATGTCTGGAGCAAGCATCCCTGACTCGTCAGTAGCTGAAACTCTCAAGGCCATGCAGCAAACCATGTCAGAAATGTCGCAAAAATTCTCGGATGTGGAAAAAGCTGTGGACACGCTTAAAACAATCCAGGTATCTCTTGGTCAAAGCGTAAATACTATTCAATCTCGTGTTCGTTCTCTAGGTGCAGGAAATACTGTGGGAGTCCGAAGAAGCATGTTCAGTACGCCGAACTCCCGTGTACGAAATGAAACCAACGAACAAACAACTTCTAACCCAACAATTCAACCGGATATGGAAGAAGAAACGCAGCTCGGAGATGAAGATCAGCTTGTAGATCAGTATGATCAAGAAAGCTTCGACCAACTCGAAACCATGAGAAAGGTTAGCCAGGAACTAAAAGAAATGAAGTCAAAATTCCACCAGGCCACCAGTTCGGAGCCGGACATCAACCGAGTCATCGAGGAAGCTAGGCGAACTCCTTTCATTCCGCGAATTGCAAATTTGAGAATCAAGGATTCTCGGAAACTCAAACTGGATCCGTACAGTGGATTAGAAGACCCAAAAAGCTATCTCGCAGCTTTTCTGATTGCCGCTGGAAGAGTCGAATTGGATGAAGCTGATGAGGACGCAGGATACTGCAAACTCTTTTCGGAAAATCTTTGCGGTCAAGCACTAATGTGGTTCACTCAGCTGGAACCAGGCTCAATCAATAACTTCGACGAGTTGTCGGCTGTGTTCCTGAAACAATATTCTATCCTCATGGATAAAAGCGTTTCGGATGCTGTCCTTTGGAATTTAACACAAGGGCCAAACGAGTCACTTAGAACTTTCATCACCAAGTTCAAGGGGGTGCTATCAAAACTCCCAAGAATCTCGCAGCAGTCAGCTTTATCTGCCCTACGAAAAGGTTTATGGCATGACTCGAGGTTCAAAGAAGATCTAATACTTCACAAACCGGACACAATTCAAGACGCACTTTTCCATGCAAATAACTGGATGGAAGTAGAAGACGAAAAAGAGAGTTTTGCGAAAAGGAACAAACAAGCAAAACCAGCGGTCACTTTCCCTACCAAAAAGTTTGAACCCAGAGAGAACCAAGGACCTAAAAAGTTTGGATCGCAACCCCTCAACAATACCGTCGGGAAACAATTTCAAGGAAAAGGAAGGTCGAACACTTGGGTCCGTGACGAAAGTTTGTATTGTGACATCCATAAGGTAACCGGACACTTAACCAAAGACTGTAGTGTCCTCAAAAAGCACCTCGCAGAGCTGTGGGCCAGTGGAGATCTTTCTAAATTCAAGATAGAAGATTTCGTGAAAGAATATCACGAGGCAAAAGATACCCCTAAAGATCAGAATTTAAAAAGACCTAGGCAATCCAACGAGGAAGAACCTAGAAGTTCGAAGGGAAAAATCAATGTGATCATTGGAGGTTCCAAGCTTTGTCGGGATACGATCAATGCCATAAAGAAGCATAGGCGAAATGTTTTATTTAAAGCGAATTTAGGCGAAGAAATGGACTTTCAAGGCGCGTCAATATCATTTGACGAAGAAGAAACATGTCACCTCGAAAGGCCTCATGATGACGCCCTAGTCATTACCTTAGACGTTGCCAACTTCGAAGTTTCGAGAATTCTCATTGATACGGGCAGTTCGGTCGACTTAATCTTTTTAGGTACCCTGGAAAGGATGGGAATCAGTCGGGCAGACATAGTAGGACCGCCGTCTCCTTTGGTGGCATTCACAAGCGAATCGGCCATGTCTCTCGGGACGATCAAGCTGCCAGTTCTTGCCAAAAACGTGTCAAAGATAGTAGATTTTGTTGTTTTTGATAAACCGGCAGCCTACAACATCATCCTTGGGACTCCATGGATTTATCAAATGAAGGCAGTTCCCTCGACGTATCATCAATGCATCAAATTTCCAACTCCTAGTGGAGTGGAAACAATTCGAGGAAGTCAAGAAGCTTCACGAACGTGTTATCTGACCAGTCATCGACTAAAGATCCAATAGCAATTAACGAAACCTGCGAAGAAGGAAATTCCAAGATTTCCTAGTGGGCAAAAAGAAGACGATGTAGTAATCGAAGTAGTATTGGAAGAAGACAAACCAGATCGGAAAGTCCGAATTGGAGTCACTTTGACTGGCGAAATAAAAGAAGCTTTGATTGAACTTCTAAGGAAAAACAAGACGTCATTTGCATGGTCAGCGGCCGATATGCCTGGCATAGATCCAAGCATAATCTGCCACAAATTGAACGTGGATCCAAGTTTTAAGCCTGTGAAACAAAAGAGAAGGAAACTCGGAGTAGAGCTAGCAAAGGCAGTAAATGATGAAGTGGACAAACTATTAAAAATAGGATCTATAAGGGAAGTACAATACCCGGAGTGGGTAGCAAACACTGTCGTGGTCAAAAAGAAAAATGGAAAAGACAGGGTATGTATCGACTTCACCGATCTTAATAAAGCATGTCCGAAAGATAGTTTTCCGCTCCCGCATATAGACCGGCTCGTAGAATCTACCGCTGGGAATGAGTTATTAACTTTCATGGATGCTTTCTCGGGTTATAATCAAATAATGATGGATCCCGAAGACCAAGAAAAGACGTCATTCATCACAGACAGAGGTACTTATTGTTATAAAGTAATGCCTTTTGGTTTAAAAAACGCAGGTGCAACTTATCAACGATTGGTCAATAAAATGTTCCATGAGCATCTCGGGAAGACAATGGAAGTCTACATAGACGATATGTTGGTTAAGTCTTTGAAAAAAGAGGATCACATTAAGCATTTGGAAGAGTGTTTCGAAATTCTCAACCAATATCAAATGAAGCTGAACCCGGCGAAGTGCACTTTCGGAGTTCCATCCGGAGAGTTCCTTGGTTATATCGTGACAAAAAGAGGAATCGAAGCTAATCCAAACCAAATTAATGCTTTTCAAAACATGCCATCCCCGAAGAACTTCAAGGAAGTACAGCGTCTGACTGGTCGAATTGCAGCCTTAAACCGATTTATTTCAAGATCAACGGACAAATCTCTACCCTTTTATCAAATTCTTAAGGGAAATAAAGGGTTCCTTTGGGATGAGAAGTGTGAAGAAGCTTTCGGACAACTTAAAGCATACCTTACCACTCCACCAGTGTTGTCTAAACCCGAAGTGGACGAGAAGCTCTATTTGTATGTTTCAGTGTCAAAACATGCAGTTAGTGGAGTCTTGGTCCGGGAGGACCGCGGAGAGCAAAAGCCGATTTACTACATAAGTAAGTCAATGACAGATCCAGAAACAAGATACACAATGATGGAAAAACTCGCACTTGCAGTAGTAACTTCAGCCCGGAAGCTACGCCCATACTTCCAATCTCATCCAATCGAAGTATTAACC